TTGGAAGATGACTTAACATGTGGCTATAAATAAGTTAAGAATAATAAATGCATGGGTGATAAAGCCAGAAAAGTGTCCGGGGGTCACCAGGTCCAGAGTGCACTGCACTCCACAGAACTCTTTCCATCGTTATATAACTTTATCTTATCTCTTTGCAGAAAAGGCATTTGGTTGTAAATGTCCTTGTTTTAGTAGCAACATTTCATGCAGACAAATGTAAATGTAACTATCGTAAACTGTATTTTTAAAAAATGTGTCCTCAAAACCATGAATCAAGGCAAAACTATAAAGCCATATCCTTATCATAACATTAAAGGCTATTTCACATCATATAAGAGCTGTTGCTTCCCTAAGTAGCCTGGAGTTGTTTTTGAAGAAGCTCATTTACACACAGTTTGGTGTAGTTTGAGAATATGGGGCCAAGTAGGTGTGGCATAGGCATTAGGATGATCATTTACTATTTAAATAATATACATGTCCATTATGTGTATTTTTACATAGACGTTCTTTGCCACCCAATAGTGGCCAAAACGAAGCACTACGGAAAGATTCTGTATGCAGTTAGAGCTGCACAGCTTAGAGACTGGTAAGGAGATTGGGATATGGGTAGTGAACTAAAACAAAGGTATTGAAAATCATAGTGTAGATACAAAAATAGGTCATAAAGGAATGAGGTTAGAAGCAGAAGTAAGAGAAAGGGAGAAGAATTGTGGAGTTTCTTATTACTGGAAAGATTTTGTGTAAGTCTCACAATTTACCTAAGATATTCTCTACTTCTCCATGTAGAAAAAGTTCTCCCCCTCCCTTAGGTCATAATGTAAGAAAGTCAGAGATATCTCAGTGTCTTAAAACTCTCAATACTTCACAATAATGAGAAACCATATGCTGACTGAGAAATATTAATAGAAAATGCTGTCTTTCAGATGCTCACTGAATCAACTGAAGACAGTTGACACATCTTTAGTAAGCTGTATATGAATCTTAGCTCATTAACCAGTCCTGTATTATGTATGCGGATTCCAATTCCTTATATGACACATCAATAAACCAGATCTGAAAAGGTGTCATTTAGATTTTAATGTATCCAATTGTATTTTTAGATGTTCCTCCACTTAGAAGTGTTTGTGTTATTTTCTGATTTTACAGGCTATGGAAGAAGGGGTGTGGTATTGATTTGAATGGGCAACCACTGCTCTCCTATATAACCTTTTCAGGATTATTCAGAACAAGATTTTTTTCTGATTACGTTGTAAGGAAAGTAAATTTCTGTTCCTTAATAATCTTTCAGCTCTGAACCATTGTTCAGTTCCCCCTTTGGTACTGAAATATAACTTAGTCACAAACTTGTATGTACCACTATTCAACTGTGCAATTTCTCAAGTATGTGTGAAACTAGAGAAAGAGAGGAAAAAATATGCTTATAAAAGAGGCTTCATGTAGAATATTCCTCATAAGCAGATATGGGAACCACCATATACTTTTATAAGGATTCTTAAATGTAACTGAACTGCTTACCAATCACATCATCAGTCTCTGGTGATCACAGAGTATTTAGTGTATTGTGAAATATCAGGCTACCATAACAACTGGATTGTCACCCATGGGCACCAGCTCAGTTCCAGTTTTGGCAACGACATTTGGAATGGTCACTGCAACCAGACAGAATGCTCATTGCTGAAAATAAAAGGTGAACCAGACCCAGCATGGGCCTCAAAAAAGGTGAGGGTGAGAAGGGGGTGAATATTTATAGAGTACTTACTTTTTACTGGTCATTGTGCTAGGTACATTACATACTATCTTGTTTAATCCATAAAACTGGCCTTTGAGATATTATTCAAAGAAACTGAGAATCTTGTCCAAGACCACACAGCTAATAAAAAGCTGTTACAGAATTCAAACCAAGGTCTGTGTATTCCAATCCATGTTCATGTCTTTCATTTGTTCTCTAATTCTTTCTTCATTCACTTAACCCGCTATATGCCAGGATAAAAGCTGTCTAGCTTTATAGGAAAACTCCCAGCTAAATGGGAGAATTTGTCAGGCATTCAACCATAGAAATACCATGCAGAATGTTGTATAATTAGAATGTCCTAAGTGCAACGCAACGCAGAAGAGAGCAAAGGGACTCCGTCTAGAGAAGTTCATAGTTCTTTTACCTAATGGTTAAACAGGACTTATTAAAGTTTTAATTCCTGCTCAAGCACCATGGCAGTGACCTTGTGAATTCAAATATTTCCAGTTAAGCAACCTCCAACATTTCTTAAACCAGAGTCATATGTTCTCTAAAACTGAGGTTTGCTGGATGTAGCCATTTAGACCACTCTCCACTTACCGCTTCTCAAACTTAATTTATGGCTACTACCTCTGTAATCCCCAGTGTCAACTGATCCCTTTTTTGGAAGCTCTGACATTGATCTGACCATTACTATGGCGAGAGGTTTCAGTGAAATTAGAAAGGTTTCCTCTCCTTTCCCAACATCATCTTGATTGCTTGAACCAAGGGGTTTGCCAGCTCCTCAGGTAAATTATAGTACTAGCATCAGGCCAAACTATGCAGAATGTATCCACCTTGTGAATACATAAACGTGTGAATATGTATTTGTATATGGATTTGCATAGATATATATGTATATATATCTATAAACTTATATATAATAAGTGGTGTGTTGTATTAGCTTCAGATGACTAGATACAAAGTATCCGAGTATCCCTAGGAGCTTTGCACTGGACATCCTATGCCAATTTCACTTTATTGAGTTGTTTTACTTACTTTTCTGAGTTTGTTATATCCCATAGTATCCAACTGGTCCTATGAAGTATCACACTGTCTTACCATCATTAAGCTACAAAGGGGCTTTCTGCCCTTTTGACAGAAAGATTTTATCTGCTGTTGGCTATGATATTGCATTGCTATGATATTGCAACTGGCTTTCCTTTTTCTTTCTCTTTCTTTTTTTTTTTAAATTTCTCTCTCTCTCTTTCTCCACCCCCTTTGTCTCTTTCATTTACAGTTGTCCAATCCATATTATGTTGGAACTCTTCTAAGAATAACTGCAATTTTGAAAGCTCTAACTGTGGGAGGCATTATTTATAGGCCTTTGTGGTTTTGGGAGGAAGAAGAAAAGTTTCCAAGGCAGAGTTCTACTAGGAAGATTGCCCCCCCACTCCACTTTAGCGAAATACCATCTTTTGCAGGATATTTTCCTATAATTCCTTATTAAAAGTTCCTTCTGCAACAGTGTATTTAAAAACTGCCAGTTTCTGAACTAACTTTTTCTTGCCCCATTATGTAAAGTTTATATACCTAATAACAGGTGATAATGAATTGGGCTTTTGGGAGCCAATTGCATTAGGAATCAGGCTTTAGTATCAGAGACTCATCTTCAAAGGCTTCGGTACACTCTGGCTGATTTTCTTATGGTAAAGAAACTCAGAGACAGAGAGTACAGGACTGGTCAGACTGCCCCACAGATTCAGAGAAGCTCCTTTCAACTGTGCATTCACTCCACATCCAGACGGATGGCACACCATTCCATCTACATTCTGGAGAACAGAAAGGTGAAAAGGCTAAAAAGCTAAATTAGCTCCCTGCACCTGGCCTCACCAGAAGTTCCATCTATCACTTTGACCAAAGGCTCATTGGCCAGACGTGGTCACATGGTCCCTCCGCCCCCCAAGGAGGCTGGGAAATGACCTCTTTTAGCCAAGTACATTGTCACCCTCTCAACAATGCATTGTCTTGCTAAGGAAGAAGAGAATGAATATTGGGTGGGTGTGTACCTTACATATTACCCACATACATTGTCTTTTCCAACAGTGACCTCTTAAAGATCACCACGAGCTCTGTGCTAGAGGTCAGAGATAGACTATAGAAAGGAAAGGTACCTAAGTCAATGTGTATGAAGTGTTTAAGTTCAATAAATAATTACTGTTCTAAGTTCTGGTTAAAATTATGGTGAGAAGAATTCTCTAGGTGCTAAGTAAATCAATTCTTATTATGCCATCCATGCCCATAAAGGACAAAAGAAATGAAATGAGGGAAAGCAATCTATGTGGTATGTAGTTTTAAACAACTTCTTATTTTTTTTAAATGTATATGACTAGGTATTACTTTTTCAATTTTTATTTTTTGCACTTTTTTATTTTATAGCAAAAACAAAATGTGTTAGGGAGAAAAGATAGCATGAAGTAATAAAAAAGGTCACTTCCACTTCCACAAAATCAAGTGAACAATAGAATATTGGTAATTGAATCACACTGTGTGTCTTCATCTGTCCGTTACTTTTGCTACTATAACAAATTATCATAAACTCATTGGCTTCAGACAACATGAATTTTTTATCTTACATTCCTGGAGGTCAGAAGTCTGAAATCATCTTCACTGGCAGAAATCGAGGTGTTGGTAGCCCTGTGCTCCTTCTGGGGTCTCTCTTTCCTTGCCTCTTCCAGTTATTAGAGGCTGTCTTCACTTCTTAACCCATGGCCCTTCATCACATAGCCATTTGTCCTCCTGTTTCCATCGCCACAGTCATCTTTTCTCTCTAACTCTGATACTCCTGCTTTTCTCTTAACCACCTTTGTGATTATACTGGCCCCACTCAGATAATCCAGAATAATCACCCCATCTCAGACTTCCTAATTGAATCACATCGGCAAAGTCCCTATTCACAGGTTTCAGAGATTAGGGTATGGACATCTTTGGAAAGTCATTCTTCACGTTACCACATCTTATAAAAGAGTAAAGCATTTATAAAACTGATTCAGACCTGATCTTAACAAGATGATGTCAAAGCCACACTGTTGCTGTTTCATATTACTATAATTTACATCAGAGTCCAAATAAAGAAACTTCATGATAATGATGTTGAATATGCTTATTCTCTTTGGCTGTTGATTAGGACTTTAAGTTACTAAGTCTTTGTCCAAAATTCTCCTAAGAAAATTCCCTCATGCAATTATGAAATCTCCTTCTTTTCTAACTTTTATTTATTTTTTTCCAGAAAAGCAAGACTACAACACAAGAATTGAAACTATAAAGTCTCTTGTGCAAAAACTCCCTCCACCAAATCGTGACACCATGAAAACCCTGTTTGGACATCTAACTAAGTAAGTTGTAAGGGTTTCTCATTGTGTCATCATATTCTCATTTCTTACATAAGCAAGTATTTAATTTCAAATCTCTAAGACAAGATTTTCCAAATGTATCTATCTCAAATTTTCCCCTTAGCCAATCTTAGTGTTCCTACAGAAGCTGGAGAATATACTAGAGGTAGGAAGGAGAACCTACAAAAGGAACTTCTAAAATAAGTTATTTTTTTCTGGTCTTTTCAACAAATAGATATTTGCTGGTTCGTTGTCATAACCTGACCCAGAGCCCTAGGATAGACCATCTTTATTTCATTATCTAGTATAAGGGAAGAGCATGAAATAATTCAGACATGAGTGCAAAACATAGCTTCATCATGTACAAAGTGCTAGGACCACAAATAAGTTACTTACACTGTCTGAAATTCACTTTGCTCGTCTGTAAAATGTTGATTCAGATTGATAAGGTGTTATCCATGTAAAAAGCTAAGAGAAGAGAATGAAGGTAGAAAAAAAACAAGTGTAAAGGCCCAGAGGTCCACAGAACTTGATGTACTTGAAAAACAGAAAGCAGGCCAGGATGGCTAAACTTAACAAACTAGGGGTGGTGGGGTTTGGAGTTAAGGTCATAGCCGTTAGACTGACTGCTGTCAGATCGAATAGGTTCTTGTGGGCCTCCCCGAGAGCTTTGGATTGTATTCTAAGTACAATTACAAACCATAAAGAGTGCTAAATTGAAGGAGTATAAAAGATCACTCTGGCTGCCATGTGGAGAATGGATTGCAAAATGGAAGCAGGGAGACCTACCTGTAAGGTGGCAACCATAGTGGTCCAGATGAGTGGTAATGATAGCTTATGTGGAGTCCTTAAAGAGATAGATTGGTGATGGGTCAGGTTGGATGTGCTGCTGGTCAGAATGCAGTTGGAAAAGGAAAGGAGAATTCAAGTGTGCCCCTTAGGGTTTGGGCTTAGGCAAGTGAAGAAATGGTAGTACGACACAGATGGGTTGAATAGGAAGAGCAGACTGGAAAGTTCCATTTTGGACGTGTTAGGTTTGAAATGACTGTTACTCATTTGCTCTCTGTTAACACCTCCTTCAGATAAGTCAGAGTGCAATACAAGTGATGAGGTTTTAGCTTTCACCATATACCTATAGTAATGTTGAATCCTGATAGAGTGTCACATAGATCGGACAGTTTTGTTTTTGTGAGATTGAATCTCCTTAATCACCCATTCCTTGGGTTGAGTCATTCCTACAGATTATTGAACTAATCCATTACATGATTTTTAACTGTGAATTTAAGACACATAACTGCACACAAAAAACTTAAGCATCAGCGGTGCATGTAGATTATAAAGTGAAATTTGCCTACTGATTACGCTTAGCCTTCTGAACAGAAGTAACAAACATTTTTGTGTATATGTGTATACACATATAAACATATGTGTATATGACTGTTATTATGTTAAAGTTTATCATACTGAACATATTGTTCTGCAATATTTTGCAACTCATGGACAGTCTTCCATTTCATTAGACAGACTTATGTGATTCTCACTAATAATGACATAGTCTTCCATAGTATGGGTAGTCCATAATTGGCTTAATCAGTCACTGCATTAGGGAACATGATTTAATCTAATCCATCATATTAGTTTCTTTCTTATTTTACCCCAGAGGAGAACCTGTGCCAAAGTTCAGACCATCCTTTATTGCTAGAATATCCCTTCTTATCACCTCCACATACTGGCCATAAGGGGAAACCCAGTGTGGCTTAGTGAGAGGATCTTGGATGGGCTTTAAGGAAATAGAGAGCTCTAGAGTCAAATCCTTATTCTATACTTTACTCTTCTTATGATCTCAAGAACATAAAGTTGGATTAAATAATATCAATCATACCTTGTGGTCATGAGAATTAAATGAGATGATGCATATAAAATGCCTGGCACAAGGTAAGCATTCCTCAAATGTAAATTCTTTTCCCTTAGGATCCAGACATATCATGAAAGGGGTTTCAAGTTACAAGTAAATACTGGAGTGCTCATGCCAGTAACTTTAACTGGACAAAGTCATGAAACAAATGGAAAACTATACTCTTTAATGCTATGCAATACCTAGTCTTGGAGATCTTGAGAAATATCCATTACTCGGTCTCAATCATTCCTTTTTTTCCCCCAACTGAACGAACAGCTATAAAATGAAGAAACTTAGAGTCAGCTAAAGCCTCCTTTGAAAAAAATAAAACACACAGATGAAAATCCATCCAATTAAAAACCTTGGAAGGATGAGAATCCTCCACCTTTATGCCACACCATCCCATTATTATATCACCTTCACAGCATTCACATTATAAGATTTTTCATTATAAATGAAGAGAAAAGTGTTATTTGCTAGTCACCAACCTTTCTTGAGTGGTGTGACCATATTCTGCCCTGCACTGATTTATAAACCCCAGTTTATAAATGCATAAATAAAACATTATGCATAAGTGTGTGCATGATTATATCTTGTTAATCATTTTTTGCTAAGTTTTAATAAACAGCCAATCGTGGTATGTCGTGAAAGCCTGAGAAGACTAAATAAGAAGATTATTTAATAGGAATTTAAAAATATTCGTGTTTGAAAGAATCATTAGAATGTTTTCCTTAGTCCTGATGCATTTGGTAGTTCTTCAGAAAATCTACCATCAACACTTGTGTGTAGTGTTTACTTCAAATTGTTGCAAATATATATATTTTGAAGTTTGTTTAGTGAGGGTCAGGGAATGTAATGAAGTGCCAAAAATTCCACTTGACCTATGTACTCTGTAGCCAAGAGAAGAGAACTCCATTTTTTGCGCAGCACTGGATTAAACATTCCCTTGAAAGCAGAGCTTTCTACCAACTACCAACTGAGGAAGCTTAATACAGTACAATTGGACTATAGGGTGGATGCCAGTCCTGTCTTCCAAAGCCAGAAGTTTTAAAGGGTTGTGATTACATTAAGCATAAGATTACACAATGGCTGAACCTGCTGAATAGTCTCAGAGTCCAGTGTCCTCACTCTTGATCAAATTCAAGGTCAAGTTCTATGCTTCTGCTGTGCTAAAATGAGACCAGAAATTCAGAATAAGCTATCATCTCAAAATGCCATCAACCAGAAACCTTTATTAATAGCCATTTTCACAAATTGACATTACAGTGATAAGTACTGTAAGGTCCTGTAGTACCTTCTGAATCATCACATAAATGGCAAATTCTATCTCTACAAAATATGTGTCAAGTGCATTTTCCTTTAGCCTGCTTCTTTGGAAAGTCAGGGAGGCAAAGTGAAGATGAAGTTAATGAAGAAGGAGGACCTAGAAAGATAAGGTTTAGTTGCTGATGGGCTGTAGTTGGAGATTAAAAGCCAGGCAAAGAAGTTACATAAGCAATAGAGAACCATTGAAACTTTATTTATGGGACACTTGTATAATGTGCTCAGTGTTTATGAAAGTAGTCCAACAACCGAGTGTAGGGTGAACAAGATAGAAGGAGAAAAGAACCCAGGAGACCACATGGGAGTTGTGGTTGGATTAGAGTGATGAACATCAAATGGAAAGACATGGCCTAAATCTTGAGAATTTTCAGAGGAAAATTCCACACAATTTTTATTTCTCTCATTTCTTTATCCCCATATCCCATCAGCCATGCAGTTAAGTCTCAGGTTTCAATGCTAGGTGATTGTGAAAATAGTCCCTCTGACAACAACAACAACAACAACAACAACAATAATAATAATAAAGCAAAAGGAGATATTGTGTAGAAGGGTGCACCCTTTTTCTCTATTTTGCAAATATAGAGAAAAAGGAAGATGAGGTTATTGAAAACTAATTAAATAGGATGAATCCCATTTTGTCAGATGTATATTGAATCAAGCCCTTTATATGCTGCCAGGTAGGATGTACCAACCAGCATGGTAGGAAAGCCATATATGTAATATATTTCAAGAATAAAAACCTTCCAAATCTTCATGTCTTTTGAGCCAGTCATCTTAAGTAATGAGGGAGGCAGTTTACGCAGACAAAATTACTTATGACAGTTGTATTTGCACTGGTAAAAACTTGGAAACAACCTAAGTGTCCAGTGATAGGGGAAGGTTATATAGAACATGACACATCATATCAGCTTAGTGAAATGTAGTTCATGGATAATTGTTTTTCTTCTTAATTTGGAGATAAATTAAAGTCAGGGATACAATATCTTATGTACTCAAAAAGAGTATAAGTATGTGGGAAATTTGTGCATCTAGAAAAGACTAAAAATTTTTGTTGAGATGTTAATATTTCTTTCTTATAGTCATTAAGTTATGAGAGTTTTTTCCCCATGTGTTGCTTTTTCTGTCCTAATAATGGTATAGAAGGCAATATTGAGGTTAAGAAAACTAGGTAAAGTGAGCAGGCTTTGGAGTTAGGCAGATCTGAATGTAAGTCTTGGCTCTGCCACTTATGGAAGGTGTGACTTTGAACAAATAACCTCTAAGCTTTCATTTTCTCATCTGCAAAATGGAGATCATAATAGAACCTATTTCTCTGGTGAGGAGTAAATGAATAGTGTTTTTAAAGAGTCTCACACAGTACCTATCACTTATTATGTTCTAGATAAACATTATACATCAGCATGTATCATTTTTATAGGGAGAGAAAAAGAAGATAATTTTTTAATAAAATAAATGTAGGGAGAATTTTAAAAGCTGGGTTGCCAAATTTCCTGGCTTCCAGAAAACATTTTATCTCACCACAGAATCTTTTTCCAAAACCTGAGTCCCTACACTGGCCTGACTCAGCCAGTTTCCCCTAGTCCCAGGGAAGCTGATTTCACCTGTTTGACCAACCATATGACATCCCACACCATGCCAAATCCCTTGTGAAATGCCCAGACCAACTCTACCTGTCCTTAACTCTCCATCTGCCTGATTTGCATCTTGTCCCATGTTCACAGATCAGAGTATTTTTACCTTCGAAGTGATAGCTTGCTAAGATCAGCTACCCTACCTTAAGTCT